GGAACAATGGTAACTAACATGCCTTAAAGTTTAAAAAGGATGGATGGCTACTGCCTTGCCACTGTCATAGGGCATAGGCAGGTTAGTGGGCAACAGGGAAAGAAGGGGTACAGCTACTGTGTGCCCAGTAAAGGAGGTGAGTTAGGGATGGGGCGCCTAAATTCAGCTACAAGCCTTCCTCACTTCCCATTCCCCTTGCTGCTGCTTCCAGTCTGGGGGTCTACATCCACAAAACCCTACCCCTTCTGCCTAGGGGTGGAAGTGTGAAGTCCAAATGCATTCTTGGGACACAATCTGCAGAGTGGAGAATGCTTTAAGATTCTCCCAAAAAATGGCAGCCAGTAGTGGAGAAAGTGAAGAGCCAGACTCCCTAATCCAATGTTCTGTTGCCAGCTGTCTTGCCAGAGGATAGCACAGTTATTTGAAAACAATCTTAATCTGTAATAATAATAGCTAACATTTATATAGCATTGTACTAAACGCTTTACAACTATTACCTCATTTGATCTTCATAACAATCTTGGGAGGTAGGTGCTATTATTATCCCCATTTTTTACAGATGAAGAAACTGAAGCAAATAGGTTGTGAACTTAAGTTCAAATCCTCCAGGCCCTTTCTATCAATTTCACCATTTTATGTCTGTCAGACACTTAATGATTGTGTTAAGTATTCTTCTGTATCTCCTACCTTTATCACTTGGGATGAGTTGCATAAATATAAACTGTATTGTGAAACTAGACTTGAAGTGTGATATAATGGGGGGAAAAAAATCAATGGACTTAGAAGACTTGCGTACAAATCCCAGCTCTGCCATTTATTTAAAGTTGTGTGAACTGGAAAACTAGTTTCCCTTTCTGGGAATTAGAATATGTTAAGTAATGTAGAAAGTAAGGGAACTGGACTAAATGATCCAACTTTCCCTAAGTCTTATGACTTCTGTTATTTGTTCTAACTTTAAATCATTCAAGTTTCAAAAGATGCTTTATCCTAACATTTCCAGATCTGATAAGAAATGAGAGGGAATGAAAAATGGGATATTATGAAGGAGACTCTACAAAAAAGAACTCTTAAAAGTTTTTCACAACTTATTTTATTGACATTTACATTGGTTTCATTTTACAGCTGAATAGAACAATACGAAATTGAGGTGTGGGAGAAGGAAAATGGAAAAAGGATGGGGGACACTCCCATAATAGTATTACATGGAACACAGGATGTTTCTCTATAGCTAAGTCAGGCAATAGTAAGAGCCAAACAGGTCTTTCCAAGAAATTTTGAGGGATAGGAGAAAGAGAAGAAAAAATGGAGAAGTAAAGGTGATGATGAAGAGACAAAAAAGAAAAGAGTAGGAGGAAAAAGAAACTCTTGGAGCCATAATAAGGTTAATGGAATGATGGAGGTCAGCAAGTTTCGTCACTGGTCACAGGAGTGACATGCGGGAAAATCCAGACACTTGAAACATAGTCATTTGAATCAGAAGGCTACTAGGACTACTTAAATCAATTGGGGAGAAATTTTGACCTATCTGGGAGAAATTTTATTAATAACTGATAGCTAGCTTTAAGTACTTTGGGTTTCCAAAGCACTTTACATTAGTTATTTCATTTAATCCTCACCAGAACCTTGTAAGTTAGTGCAATTGTTGTCTCCATTTTTCATATGAAAAAATTAAGTAACTTGCCCAGGGCACACAGCTTTAAAAATGTCTAGAGGCCAGCTATAAAGGTCAAGGTTGTAAGGTCACCAGGGGTAGATTTAGATTCTGTGTGGAAGAGGCATCATTCTCAGGGAACTTAAAAGGTCCTGGCAGGAGTTATAGAGCTAAAGATTTAGGGTTCTATATGGGAGAGTTATAGGGTGACTCCTTGAATTTCTGGGGGACTGTCGGAAGAAAAGGGATATGGCTGGAGGACAAGGTGTGAGGTTTCAGGGTAGGGGGGAGGTGACTGGTACAGAGTCCCTAGGCAGCAATCCGGTAGTTGGGATGGATCTGGGGCCTGATGTCACAGACCATGCCAAGGAGTTGAGCCAGGACACGCTCACGATTGCGCTGCTGAGAACTCTGCATGCCCTGTACCTGGCGCCGAGTTGCCTGCTCCACCTCAGCTGACAAGTTCCCCTGGGAGCCCATGGCCTGGGTTGGGGGGGGGGATAAGATGGGTGGGGGCATTGGGGAAAGAGAAATTGGAAAGAAAGAGACAAAGAAGGGTCCCAGAGTGTGAGGTTGCCACAGGAAGCGACAGAAAGAAAGTTCAAGAAAAAAAGACCCAAATGTGGACATTATCCCTTCCCCTGAATCCTTATGTACAGACTATGTGAATTCTACAAAAGCTGTCCAGGCAACAGAGAGATACACAATCTTCATTAAGACTTCCATAATAACCCAGAAACTGAATTCCCCATCAACTCCAACATTATCACCTAGGCCAGAAGGATTCCACATTTCCCACCCTAGACTACTGCCATCTTCCACACTGGATGTAAAAAGCCCAAACACTGCGTCATAAATTCCGTGTTTCCCTTAGAGGCCCCCCAGACTTCCCTCCACATCACAAAAACATTTGAAAAGGCTATATACCTCACAGGGGTCCCCACCCCATTAGAGTTCTCTTCATCCCCAATATTACCCTGATTCCCTTTTTCAATATGCAATATAGCCCAAATCTTACCGCTTGCTGCTTGCTCTGGAACTCCTGCTCTCGTTCTCTACGGTACTGCTCTACCTCCATCTGAGCCTCTTCCTTGGCCTGCTTCAGTCGCCGAGCCTTCCCTGGAGTGAAAGAATGGAAGAACATCCCCAGAAAGATAGTTAAAGGCTCTTTCAACCAAGAGTCCTCCATGATCACGCTGGTAGTTCAATCCCCTACACATCTCTCCAAAGGAACCCTGTCATTTGGCCTAACTCATATCCCGCCTCCCCACCCCCAACCCGCTCCTCTCAGTAATCTAAATGCCCAGTCCTTCTAAAGCCCTGTTCCCTGCCGAGGCTCTCACTCTTTCGAGCATCTGCCACCTTCTCAGCCGCTCTCTTCTCAGCCTGCAGCAGCTGCTGGATGCCCTGGGATTGACTGGCCATCTCTATTTGTGAGCAGTGATGCTACCAAAGGTACCAGCTTACTGCCACCACCTCCACCTCCACCCCAACCCCCACCTCATCCAGCTATTCCTCCTTCCCTCCGTTGGGTCTTAGAGTCCCCCTGCTTTCAGTTCCCTCTTCCTCCCAATTCAGGCTTGAATTCCTTCTCTCCCCTCCATCCCATTCCCTTGCTCTTGCAGTACCACCTGAGATCACCTGAGGGCAACAGAGACCAGATCACTGCCTGCTAGTGTCCCAAGCAGGTTTCCTATCCTCTTTCTGTATTTTGGCATCATGATTTCTGCCTCACTCATGGCTCCGTTCGAGGCCTTGGTGGAAACAGAGGATGGACAATCTGGTTTTTCCCTAGATCTCCAGCAACTCCACTCCATAAGAGCCAGCAGTTGTTTAATCCTTTAAGATTTGCAAAATGCTTTACAAATAGTCTCATTTTATCCTTACAACAACCCCAGGAAGTGAGGAAACAGTCACAGAGAAATTAAATGACTTGCCCAGGGTCACACTGCTAGTATGTGTGAATAGAATACCAAACTTGGAAATACCTGACCTAAGACACTAGTATGTGACCTTGGGCAAGCCATTTAAGGAAAGAGAAAAAGCATTTACTCACTTCAGTAACATGCCTACTATGTGTCAGGCGCTGCACTAAGCACTTCACAAATATTACATATATTATCTTATTTGATCCTCACAACAACCCTGTTGTTATTCCCATTTTACAGATGAGGAAACCGAAGCAGGCAGAGGTTAAATGACTTGCTCAGGTTCACACAGCTAGTTAAGTGTATGAGGCAGGATGAACTCTGGTCTTCCTGATTCCACTACTCTACACACTACACCACCTAGCCCCAGTTTCCCCATCTGTAAAATGGGGATAATAATAGCATCTATCTGCCAAGGTTGATGTAAGGATAAAAATGAAATATTTGTAAATCACTTTGCAAACCTTAAAGCGCCATATAAATTCTTATGATTGTTATTATTCTGTGTCTGAGGCTGGGTTTGAACTCCAGATCCAGAACTCTAGAACTCTTATCTGCTGAGCTCCCTCGCTCCTCTCCTTCCTCTCTTCCTCATTTCCAGTCCTTTCCCCAAGGTTTGCATTTCTGTTTCTACATTTCTCCCTGCTTCCACCCCGTGTCCGTATCTCTCCCCGGCCCCCATCTTTCTCTTAGGTTTCTCCAGTCCAGACCCCGACCCCAACCTGGGAAGGCGGTCCATAGAGAAATCACCGCATACCGCTCGCTTACTTCTTCCTTCTCCAATTCACGCCGGCGCCGAGTAGAGTACAGCCCCTCCCCCTCGCCCTGCCCCTACCCCTCCCAGTCCGGCGGAACCTTTCTCTCGTGCCCCGCGAGGTTCGTCAGGAGCCGAACCTCGGCGGTACTTGCCATCCGCCCTATTCCTGCCTCACCCTCTCCCCTTCCGCCGCTCGTTTCCGGTTTGCTTCCGCCCTTTTCCCTTCAGGCTGCGCAGGCCCTACGCGGGGCCTTAGCTCGATTTAGCTGGATGTAAGAGGCTCAGACGGAGCTTGTGGCAGCTCCTGGCCTCGTGTTCCGGGCTGCGGTGATTTCTGCAAAGCCACCGAGAGCCTAGATTCCCGGACTCGGCTACTTAGCAGCTGCGCGGCCTGGGACGGAGCCTTTGCACCTGTACCTCACGTTCCTTACCCGTCACGTGATTGGGGTTGGGCTAGACCGTGGGTTCTTCCCTTTTTGTGTGTGTCGTGGAACCCATGACCCCTTCTCGGAATAACGTTTTTAAATTATTTAAAGAAAGCCTAAATTTTAGTTCGAGATTAGTGAAAATAGAGATGTCATTTTTCTCCACCCCAGGGAGCTGACTTTCATTTTGAATCCTGAGGTGTCATATTGACACCTTCAGAGCTGCTCTGTAAGGGGCTCGACTGAACACGAGGCCTTGTCTTGCTGGGCAGTATTCCCACGACTTACCTGATAGGTTGGGGCAGGCCCAAGGGTCACAGGGCAGGGACATTATGACAGGCCAAGGCTTCTTGGAGTGGTAGTGCTTCTACCTGCTCACCTACAGATACAGATATCTTATATATGTAGACAGATCTAAACCAGATGATTACAAAATTCATGTGCCCAAATTTTGCCACCAGCCCAATATTCCTCTGCTTTTTAAAATCCTTTCTTTAATTGTGCTATTTAAACATGACTAATGCTGAAATGTTTTGCTTGACTTCATATGTATAATGGGTATCCTATTTCTTGCCTTTTCAATGAGTTAAGGAGGAGCTGAAGAGAAATTTTGGGACTGAAAATAAAATGAAAGTGAAAAACTATATATAATGAAAAAATAATTGTACTTTTTGGTTCAAAGAACCCCAAACAACTTTATCTCCTCTCCAAAATTATGTAGCTACTTGCCACAGTAATCTACAAGAAAGATACTTAAGTTTTGAAGAGGAGATGGTTTTTATTTCAAGATTTAAAGTGGAAGGTAGAAGTGTACAAAAGTGGGAGAAATAGGGAGAGAGTATGGGAAAATGAAAGGAACAGCATGGAGCTTATGTTCTGTTCTAGTTCTTTTGCCTCATTTTCTTTCTTTTCTCAGTCCAGAACCCATCATGGGTTCTTCCTCTCACCGACGCAGACGTGAGCGACGTTTCCGAAGATATCTGTCTACAGGACGGCTGAGCAAGGCTCAATCCCTGTTTAAGCGACACCCAAGGCTGGATATAGATGCTGGAGAGCCACCACTACTCCACCGAGCCTGTGCCTGCCATGATGCTTCTGCCCTTCGACTGCTACTCCGTCTTGGAGCTGACCCCACTCACCAGGACTGCCATGGAAATACTGCTCTGCATGCTGCTGCTCAACAGGGTCCTAGTGGTGAGTCCATCCCTTACAGGACAGCTTTGAATGTATCAGACAGTAATAATCTGCTGTCAGAATCTCAGGTGAAAGCAAGAACCTTGGGATACAAGATATTTTTCTGGTCATTGGAATGAATTTCTTCAGCTGCAAAGTGAGAAAAGTAATGATAGTTACACTACCTACTTTACAGGGTTGTTGTGAAAGTCATAATAGATAACATGCAAAGGTAGTTGTAAATCCTAATATATAATATATTGTGTGTGAGTACATACCTATATATTTGTATATATAGGTATGTATAGACACAAACATATATATACAATGGATATATAATATACAATATGTGTACATTTTATGAATCTATATGTGTATCTATGTGTACATACTTATTGAATATATGTATATGTATCTGAAGTGGCACTTCAGATTTTTACATCCATTCGTTTAGCTCCTACTCTGTTTACTTCTAAGATGGTAGTCATTTTTCCAACCTGCTTTTCCTGTCCAGATCTATTTGTATCCCCAGTACCCACTATCTGGCCCATGATGGTGGTCTTCTGAGTAAAAGTTGGCACCTAAATGGGTAATTTTTCTCACTCACCAGAGGTCCCCTCATTATATAATTTGTCCAGCTCCCAGATAAGGCAGGTAGGTGATCCACTGGATAGAGTGCTAGGCCTGAAGTCAGGAAGACTCATCTTCCTGAGTTCAAATCTGGCCTCACACACTTAGTAGTTATGTGACCCTGGGCAAGCTACTTAACTTTGTTTGCCTCAGTTTCCTCATCTGTACAATGAGCTGGAGAAGGAGATGGTAAACCACTTCAGTGATTTTGCCAAGAAAACCCCAAATGGAGTCAGGAAGAATCAGACATAACTGAAATGGCTGAACAACAACAATAACAGAGCCCAGATAGCAACTGGCAGTATTCTTATAATTTAAGATGAGAGCCACAGCAAACAATTTTGTCCTTTGACCCCTGCCAACAGCCTACAAGGACTTTTTTCTGCCTCTGATGACACAATGTCCCACTGCCATGAAGATGAAGAACAAACAAGGAAAGACCCCTGGGGAACTTCTTGGCTGGGAAAGTCCCCCAGAGCCATCTGTAGAGTCAGAGGAAGAGGCTTACAGGGAGAGAGAATGGAGACAAAAGCTTCAGGAGGAGCTAGAAGATGAGTGGCAGGAGATGCTGGGGAGGTTTGAGGGTAAGGATAGCCCAGAATAATGCCCTCAAGATGCCTACATCTCCCCCGCTTCTCATATCCCTTATTGCTTAGCTACTTCACACTCGTTCCCATCCCTTTCATCTGTTCTGTCTCCATCTCTTTTCCTTCCCATCTATCTCCTTTCTTCCTCCTGGCCTCATTGTTTCTCTTTCTGCTTCCCTCCTTAAGAAGCCTTTCCATTTATATACTCATTGCTCCTTAGGTGATGAGGATGCCACCTTAGACACCCCAGAGCCTGAGTCCTTCTCTGCCTGGACTGAACGCCTGGCCCGAGAACATGCCCAGAAACAGCAACAGCAACAGGCAACAAAGAGGGCCCGGCATCCAGAATGTATGTCAGCCTCCCAATGCAGCTGGCAGCAACAAGAGGTGGAACGTCGTCTATTCCGAGAACGAGCCCAGGCCAAGGAAGAAGAACTGAGGGAGAGCCGAGCCAGAAGGACCCAGGAAGACCGAGGGCATTGTGGGGGACACCGCAATAGGACGAAGCCCAGGGGAGACTTCCCCAAGGGAGGAGACAGACTTTGGTGTTTTAAAGATATACCTTGGCCCTGCCCTGGGGGAAGGGACCCTGAGGCAATGGCAGCAGCCCTGGTGGCCAGGGGCCCCCCACCTACGGATCAGGGAGCCCTAAGAAAGTATTTGAGGGCCCAGCAGGTCCAATGGCACCCTGACCGATTCCTGCAGAGATTTGGGTGCCAAATTGAAGCTAGGGAAAGGGAAAAGATATTGGAAATTGTGACCGCTCTGTCCCAAGCCCTCAATCGGCATGCAGAAGGCCTAAAGTGACCTAGAGGAAAAAGACAAAGAATGAGTACACATGATAGGAATAAGTCAGACAATAGGATTCAGGTGATAATGACAAAATATAAAACCTGGAATGAGGAAAAAGTTGGGTGTAGGAATAGAGGCTCAGGGGTGGGAACTGTAGAAAAAGATGAGGCCTAAATAAGGACAGGTTGTGGGTTAAAGATGAAGTGAGCTAACTGGATCAGTCATGGGCAGTTGCTACCACTGAATCCCTTTTCTTCCTACTTATTTCCTAATAAAACAAGAGTTCCCCATCTTATTCCTAATTTCTCCTCTGCCTTTTTCCATCTCTGTGGTTTCTATCACCTATGACATCTCCCTTCTGCTTACTAAGCCTACAGTTTTCATATGCCAGAGACGTACACATGGGTGTGATGTGCTCTTGGCCTGTGATATCACTTCATCCTGGCTGCCACCCTCCCCAGCCCTCAACATCAACATCCAGAGGCTTTAGCCTGCCCCACCAAAGCTCACGCATCTCTTCCTTTCTCCCCCCAACTGTTAGACCAAGTGCCTAAGTCTCCTCAACCCAGTTGTTTGTGGCTGGAGAAATAGGCTTAATGTGAACGGGGCAAAAAGGGAACAAAGCTGTGGTCTCTTCTTCCCCCCCCCCACCAGAACCACATCCTCCACCCCCTTACCTCCCCACCCCCCACCCCCAGGGCTTTTCCTTTGCTGAGTCACTAGGATTTGAGGTGGGGGGCAGTTAAGGCTAGGAGACCCATCAAGAGGATTGTAGGAGGGCAGAATTAGGGGGAGCTAAGAGCAGAGAGGGAAGCAGCCCCTCTGCAGAGGAGTGGAATTTCGGTTGCTAAAAATAACTTCGGGGAAGGAGAAGGAAAGGGCCAAATTGTGTAACCTGGGCTGTCTGTTCTTGGGTAACCTGAGGTCCACGCCCGAGAACAGCCCAACCTTCATAGTCTCCCAGTTGGGAACTAAGTATCCAGACTTTTCAGGGAATTCAGACATCAGTACTTTGGAAATACGACCAACATACCTTCTAGCCCCTGTTGCCTTTCAGAATCCAGAGAATTGTCCTGGCTCCCCTCCCAATTCTTTTCTCCCCTCTCCCCACCATTCTTTCCTGCCTCATCCTTTTCTCCTCCTTCCCCAATTTCAGGACTCTGATTTCCCGGTCTCGGCTCCTGTTACCCTCAAGGACCCAGGATCTTTGGTCTTTTCCCCTGGTCTATAATCTCTGGGGTGATATGGACCCAGTCTGTATTTCATAGATCATTATCTCTTCCCGGAAACAGTGGTTGAAGCTCCGTGGGGGGAAGGGGGCTTAGAGGTCAGGTGGGGATTCCCATGGGGGGCATTCCTTACTCTCTCCTCTGGCCTCCCCATACCTCCCACCCCAGCCTCCAGGAAACAGGAGGTGGGAGTGGAAATCAGACAATACTGCTTCCCTTTCAGCCCACTCCCGACCCAACTCACACACTCTGCTTTAGTTCTAAGAGAAGGAGCTAGAGGAAATGGAAGAAGATGCCTTTTCATGCCTGTGGGTGCACGTGCTCATCTATCCATTATGTTAGAAACTAAATTTTTAAATACAGAACTCACATTTGCATGGGGGAGCCCCAGATAGATGGAGTTAGGGATAGGGCATTAAGTTGAGGGTGCTTCTGGGAAGACTAGTGAAAATAGAATAGGAGGGAAAAGTGGACATGGAGGACATAAAGTCTCTGATCACCCTTAACTCTTCATTCACCCTACTTGATGTCTGATTAGGTGTTCAATCTTTTTGATTCTGCCTCCATAACATGTCTCATCTTTATCCTCTTCAGTCCACCCTAGTTCAGGCCCTTATCACCTGGACTGTTGCCCTGGCCTCTTTTCATGGTTGCCTAATAGGTTTCCCTTCATGGAGCCTCTTTCCTCTTCAATATGACTGCCAAATGTATATTCCTAAAACACAGGTCTGACCAGGTCACTGCCTTGCTTAAGAAACTGCAGGTTAAACAGACTGTAGAGTAAAATGTTCAGCATTTCAAGCTGTTGACACTTGGGCTTCAGGATGTCTTTCCAGGCCGATGACGCATTATTTCTCCCCCAGTCACTCTATTTCAAGGCCAATGGTCCTTCTTTGCTTCCCCAAACACAACTCTATTCTCTTTCATGGCACCTTAGACATACGCTGTACATATTCTATTCCTAGAATGCTCTCCCTCCTCATCTCTGCTTTTTGAAACTCCTGACTCCCTTCAGGGATCTGCTGAAGTGCCATCTCTGACAAAGGGCCTTTCCTGATCCTTCCAACTATCAAATGTTCTTCCCCTCAGAAGATTTTGTATTTATTTTATATATACTTTGTTTTCTTACCTGTGTACGTATTATTCCTCTCCTTCTCTCCTTGCCCCACTCCCATTCTAGTAGAATGTAAGACTCTTAAAAACAGATTGATTTTTTGGTTTTGGGCGTTTTTTTGGTTTTGTTTTGTTTTGGTTTTTTTTTGTCTTTGGATGCCCAGCACATAGCGGCAGTGCCTGGCACATAGTAGGTATTTAATAAATGTCTTTTGGATTTTAATTGAACTGAATGGGAGTGTGGATGTTGTTTGGATATGTTTATATGAATATGGATGTAATATGGATGAGATTTTCTGAGAGAGACAAGATTGGGGTGTAGGACATAAGCCTTTTGAAGGGACAGTGTGGTCTCTGGGAAAGGTTCTCAGAGGCAATTGCTGTGATTTAGAAGGGACCTTACTTGAGCTGTGAACAGCCTGGGCATCCAGTTCCTCATGGAGCCTAAAGAATTCAGAAGCAGCATGCAAAGAATCCCTTGGAGATAGTAAGGTTTATGCCTGGATAAGAGGGCATAGTAAAGAGACAGGACAGGAAGTACCGGTACCTGGGCAACCCCTCCCCCTTCCAAAAGAAGGGCTTTTTCTTTATTTCTAAGCATATTGCCTTCTCCCTCACAGACGTTATGTAAAATAATATATATCCAGATATCTCCCATCACCCTCAATTCTCCAACTCTTCTCAAGTCCCACTCTCAAAGTGTCTGGCCCCCCAGCCCTGAAGGGGGTTCCCCTGAGATGAGGGTGAAGTTCACTTTCTCTCACCACATAGTTTCCGGTTCTGTGTCTTGCTTCTGAGGCCGATAAAAATACTGGTCCCCTAGGGGCCCTTCGCTTCCTCCGACCCCCTGGGGCCAGGCACCCAGGCATCCTGTGCCCCTGTTCTGGGGGAGGCAGGGATCCCCCTGATTAGTGACTCAGGTTCTTAACAGCCAAGAGATGGGGAGGGGTAAACTATGTCCTTGTGAGCTCCAGGCTTGAAGCCAGGAATTTGGGTTACAATAGAAATTTTATTGGAGTCAGACTGAATTTAAGAACCAGGAAGAATAATGTTAGAAATGAGGCTAGTGGGATTGTGTGTCAACACTTAAGGTTTGGGATTACTATTGAGGTTGGGATTAGGGTTAGGTTAGAAATTGGTGGCCAATATCTGGATCAGGGATAGGATTGGGATTGAGATTGAATAAAGTCTAAGATAGGGGAAGATACCAGAGGAAGAATTAGGTTATTGATGAGCCAGATATTTTCTCTTCTGACTACTCTAGTACTTGTGCCTCTCTTTTGACACATCACGTATTACCTTATATTAAAATTATTTGGATGTATGTAATTTACCCTACCAAATTCCAAACATTGTGGGGACAGCTGCGTCTCATTCATCTTTATATTTCCCATGGGAGCTTGCCTGTGCAATACCTTTGACAAACCTTTATTGAATTAATAGGTAAGGCTAGAAATGGGTTTAATAGGATGAGGTCAACATTAGTGTTGGGAGTTCAGGTTAGAGGTGCAGATTAGGGTTTAAAGTTAGTGTTGGAATAAAGGTTGCATCGTATTGAGGATAAAATGCCAAATGGATTTGGAAGGTGAGTATTAAGATCATTGTGAGGTTGTAGTTGGCTTTGGTTTGGGGTTTAAATTCAAGGTTAGTGTTGAGTTAGAATTGGGATTAAAGACGGAGTTAAATTTGAGTTAGAGTAATGTTAAGTGCCAGGCTGGGGTTGGGTTAGAGCCTTATTTGATTTCTCTTTCTATGTGGAGACTCCAGTGAGTTCATTAATTTCTTTGTAAAAGCCTCCCTGCTCCTCACCGTAAAGTTAGGTTAGAACCAGCTTTCCACATTATCACCCTTCACATACAGGGAAACTTGCAACTAACCACTTGCCTCTCCACAGAGAGAAACTGTATCCTTCCCAGTTTCTGAAACTGAGATTGAAACCGAGACCTGCCCTTCCTAACAGGATTCTAGTAGAACGTCATAATGTCTTTGACACCAGTCTCAAGCATCCTATCTCAGCCTTCAGCTTTTCCAGTCTCAAAATGAGTTCATAATCCTTCCCTCAGTCTTCACCTCTCGGTTCTTCACCTCTCTGCTCTTTTGGTTCCCCCTCTCTTGGTCCTTCAGTCTTTCAGTCTTTCTTTCTCTCTCTCTGTGTCTCTCTCTCCCTCCCTCAGTCTCTCTTTCAGTTCTTCATATTCCCCACCCCCCAGGTTTCTCAAGCTCCCCAACCTCCCATCCTTCAGTCTCTTCATGTTCCTCTGTTTCTTTCTGTACCTCAGTCTTCTCCTCCACTCTGTTTCTGTCTTTCAATGTCCTTTCTGTCTCTCACTGATATTTGGATTGGGTGTGCATCATACTTATTTGATTCCATTCTTCTCAGAGGTCTCCCTGTCTTTTATCTGCCCTCACTACCAAATGACAGAAAAACTGGGTCAGAAAAACACAGATAGAAACAAGAACACAAGAAAAGATTGAAGGAAACAGAGATGGCAGATAGTGAGATAAAGAGACAGACAAGCCCAGCTAAAAGGAAAGGGAAATAGGAAAGGGGAAGGAAAAAGTAAGAAATGACAGATAGGAAGGGGGATGATGACAAACTTGGAGGATGAGGGATAGATTTGAGAGAGAAGGATGAGCCATTGTGTGTGTGTGTGTGTGTGTATTAGAGTAGAAGTAGGGGAGTGAGTTGAAGTATATTGTATCATGAAGTACGCCTTATATATGTAGCTCAGAACATGGAAGGACAGTTTTGTGTATAGGAAATCTTGTCAGCTGAACGCTGCTCACACTAACAATACTTTGCCTGGCATGTTGTATAGTATAAATTATGATTAAGAGGTTTATGTAGAATATACAAAAGATAACTATGCCACCTGAGGGGGTGAGATTAGGAGGGGAAAACAATTCTATACAGACTCAATCTGGAAGAGGGAAGCAATGTCACATGTGGCTACATGATTTGTTCTTTGTTGAATCTCAGGCACCACATGCTAGAGACAGGTAAGACTATGGGCTAAGGAACATATAACTTGAGACATCAGGAATGTGTGTATGGCAGGTGGGATAGATATAAGTAGTAGAGAATGAGGAAAATGGGGGTGGATAGTCTGGGGGGAGAGTGGAGGGGTCATGAAAGAAATAAAGATCTGGAAGATCCCTGGGGGCTCTTCCAATTCAGTCCCCCTCCCCCTTCACATTCATGTTACCTTTCCCCTAAACCCTCCTAACCCCACTCCCTTTTCCCAGAACCATGGTCTCCTAGCCCCCAGCCTTCGGTTCTCCCTCCCAGCCTCAACCTTTCCTGCCTTCGGCAGAAACACCAGCTCGTTCTTCTAAGCCCTGGGGGCTTCCCCGGCCAGGCTAGGGCCCTGAACCCTCCCGCCCTGCTGCCGCTTCCTCTATAAAGGGACCCAGGCGTCCGGGCCCAGGAAGCCCAGCTCATAGCAGGTAGGGGCCCCTGGCTGAGACACTCCTGAACCCTGAGCCATTCCCCCTGGCCCTTAAAACCCCCTGATTCCACATTCTCTCACCATAGCTTCCTGTGTCTATTATTTCCACCTGCCTCTCTCTGGGTCTGCCTTGGGCTCCGTCTCTACCTCATTCTTTCTGGGTCTCTGACTTTCTCTCTTTCAGTCTCTTTCAATCTGCTTCTGTTTCTGTTCCTCTCTGCCTGTTTCTGTTTCTCTGTCTCATTTCTCATTTCTGTCAATTAGTCTCTCTCTGTACTTCTGTTTTTCTCTCTACATGTGTCTCTCTCGGTATCTTTGTCAGCTTCTTTATGTCAGTATGTTTTCCATATCTTCCCTTTTCTGTCTCTGTGCTTATTTCCCATTTCCTTTCCCTCTTTCTCCCCCTCCCTCCTCCCCATTATCTCCACCCTGGGCCCTTCTCCACTTTCTCTTTCTCTCTCCCCAGGTTCTCCCCATGACCTCATCTGGAGTCCTGTGCCTCCTGGGGGCGCTGTGCCTCCAGGTGCTTTGGCTGCAGCTATCAGGGGCTCAGGTGAGAGGCAACAGGACGGGATGACCTGGGGGTCAGGAGCTTAAAGGGGCAAGAAAGAAATCTTGGCCCTCTGGTACCTTCTTAACCATGTTCTTTCATAGGGGGCTCCCAATCCTGATAACTCCCACTCATCTAGCCCAGCCCCACCTCAGACACCTCAGCATCTCAGCCAGAAGAGCCCAAAAAGAGACACCCTCAAACCAGCTGCCCACCTTGTTGGTAAGAATCTAGGTGTTACACCTTCTCCACTTCCCTCCTAAACCCAAGCATCCAGCTCCCAGTTTCCCACCCTCCCCTCAGTGACCTGTACATTTGTTCTCCCCAGTCCCATAACACTCCCTGACTTCTGTGTCTCTCCCCTAGGAGATCCCAGCACCCAGGACTCTATACATTGGAGGGCAAGCACAGACCACGCTTTCCTCCGACATGGCTTCTCTCTAAGCAACAACTCCCTGTTGGTCCCCACAAGCGGCCTCTACTTCGTTTACTCCCAGGTTGTCTTCTCAGGAGCCAGCTGTTCTTCTGAGATTACTCCTACCCTACTCTACCTGAGCCATGAGGTGCTCCTCTTCTCCTCCAAGTACCAGGTTCATGTACCCCTCCTGAGTGCCCAGAAGTCTGTGTGCCCAGGGACCCAAGGACCCTGGATGAGATCAGTCTACCAAGGAGCTGTGTTCCTGCTCACCCAGGGAGATCTGCTTTCCACTCATACAGATGGTGTCTCTCACCTGCTCCAGTCCCCTAGTAGTGTCTTTTTTGGGGCCTTTGCACTATAGAGAAAGAGAAAAATAAAGAGGAAAATGGCTTCAAGGCCCACCTCCATGGCCCTTTCCTCTATTCTGAAAGTTTCAAGGGTCCACACCAACATTCCCTGCTTCCACCATTGCTTCGGTTTCTTTCAAGTATTTCCCTTCTCTGTAACCTCCAGAGATGGAATTCTGGGTGGTGTGAAGGCTCTCCAGAATGGGGGTTGAGGTGAAGGCAACCAAACACCCCACTACCCCTGAACCACTGCCAGATGCTGGACTGAGAATTTCAAGTCTAACCAGAACTACCTAGACAAAAGTAATTTGGTTGGCTGGCTCATAGTCTGAATGGGGTTTAAGACTGGCCATGGAAGGAAAAAGGAAAGAAAGGGTGTGTAGGGTGGGTATCAGGGGTTGGTTGGGACAGGGAATGGGGGAAATTATTTATGAATGGTGATTATTAAATTATTTATTTATAAAGAAGCAGAGAATGGGAAGAGGGAGATAGAAAGACAGAAAGATATCTCAGGGAGACATATCAGGTAGACACACAGGCAAAAGAGAAAAAGTAGAAAAGGAATGAGGGAGGGAGGGAGTGTTTCAGGTGAAAAGGAGAAGGGCTTGTAAAAATGGGGACAACAGAGTGCTAGGGACCCTATCTGGACCTATGCCCTCAGCAAAGTTCAATAAATATTTTTCCTCTGAGATGTCTGTCTGTCTGTCTGTTTAAAGGATGGGATAACATAGGGGTCTTTGTGGAGGGGGACACAAAAGGGAAAGATCCTTAGAGCCACGTTGGAAGGGAAGGATACGTGATGAAATATGGGGACAACTGGGGAGAAACATACATAAAGTTATGGGAGAATGAAAGTAATATGAGGGGCTTAAAAGACATAGGTGATAAAGGGGTGTGTGGGGGTGATATCAAAGAATATAGGGGGCTTCTGGGAATGTATACTCTGATACGGGGATGTTCTGAGGGGATCATGGAGGACTTGGGGGACCTACATCAAAGAACCAAAAATTCCTGTAGGCCAAGAATGAAACCTATGATGTGAGTCCAGAGGTCAGAATGAAAGAAGAACGACCTTCCCAGGCCTGGTTTCACCCTCTTTGGAACGTCCCTACGCCTTTCAGAAATTCAGATCCTGAACTCCAATTTTCTCCCTTCTCCTCTCTCTCTTCTCAATGAAGATCCAGTCCCTCAGACCTCAGTTTGTTCTTTCAGGGTCCCAGACATCTGAGTCTGAAAACCCTAAGCCCTCCATGTAAGCCCTAGCCTTTCTTGAATGGTGTCTTAACATCGCAGGGGCCAGGGGCCTGGGGAATTAGAATTGGGAAACAGTCCAGGACACCTTCCCTCCTACATTCATGACTGGGGTTAAGAGGAGTGATATCCCTAGACTCTTGGGTTTCCTCAAGTCCAACTTTCCAACACCCACCCCCATTGGAAGGAAGAAACTGAGACGAGCTTGGGGAAGGTCCACAGGGCCCCCACGATAGCTTCCTCCAGATGAGCTCATGGGTTTCTCCACCAGGGAAGTTTTCCGCTGCCCGCTGGGTGAGAGAGCCTTCTCCCCCGCCCTCCTCACACCCTCCCCTTGGGGCATATAAAGGCAGCTGCTCACTCACCCAGTTGACAGAAGCTCCCATACAGAGAACATCAGGGGACTAATCAGAGAGGGAGAAAGACTACTCCAGGCTCTCTGAAACTCTTTCACCCCTTAAAAAAAACCCAAACCACTGGGCACTCTTTCTCTCTCTTTCTCCCTCACACACACACACACACTCTCTCTGTCCCCTGGGCCATTTGCCTCTCTGCATCAAGGAACTACAAATTTGGACTTCAGCCTCTCCCAAAACAACACCACTGGAAACTGAGCAGCTCCACAAAACAGGAACCATGAGCACAGAGAACATGATCCGAGACGTAGAGCTAGCAGAAGAAGCACTCCAAAGGAAAGCCAGGGGGCCCCAAGGCCCTGGACGCTGCCTCTGCCTCTCACTTACCTTCTTCCTTCTTCTTGCTGGGGCCACCATGCTCTTCTGCCTGCTGCACTTCGGGGTGATTGGACCCCAGAAGGAAGAGGTGAGAGACAGATAACTTATTCTAATGCCTCACAAATACTTGGCCATAGAAACAGGAACAGAGAGGGATTGGGGGAGCCAGGACAGATGGGGAAAGGAGGATGAGGAGATCAAGAGAGAGGGAGAAATATGACAGGAGATAGAGGGATGGGGAAATTGCAGTAAGGGAGACAGATGGGAAAAAGAAAGACAGAAAATGATGGAGAGAAAGGAAGAAAGGGGAGAAGAACTAAGGAGAAAGGTAAATGGGGAGATAGAGAAACAAAGAGAAAGATGGAATGATAAGGGAGAGAGATATGAGGGAAAAGAAATGAGATGAGAATTGTGAGAGGCGTGTGTAGGTGCACTTAACTATACATCCCAGCCTCTCTCTTTGTCCATGATTATCACTGACCTCTCCTTTCTCTCTTTTCTAGGAGTCCACAGATTTTCTTGGCATGAAACCTCTGACCCAGAGAGTCAGTAAGTGTCCCCTGTTGATGATTCCAGTCTCCTAAACCTTCATTCCCAAAGTGGGACATATCAGGGATGAGGCTGGGAATAGGGATGGGGGAACAGTTCTTAGGGGACAGGAAGCATCTCTGACTATTGGTTTCTGGTGGAGGGGAAGGGCAATGAAAGAGAGCTAAAGTTCAGTTTTAAACTTTCACTTCTTCCTTTTCTTTTTTCTCCCCCATCCCAGGATCCTGTCAGACTGAAAGTAACAAGCCTGTAGCTCATGTTGTAGGTAAGAACCTGAAACTTTGGAAGTGGGGCCAAATTGGGTCTGGAATCAAGGGATGGGCTGAGAGTCAATATGGAACGTTGGGTATAAAGCGGAACCTATGCGGGAAGAAATATTGGGAGGGAAGGAAGAGGGACGGTGGAGAAGAAGATGACTAGAACTGGAAGAACAGGATGAAGAGAATAGAAAGAACTCAAGGGATAGGATTCTATGGGAATGAATAGAACCTGAGGGACATGACATAAAGAGTGCCTTGAACTTTAGAAATAAGATGTGGGAAACAAAGTTTGGGGAACAGAATGTAGAAGATGAAACTCAAAAGAAACATACGGACTCAACTTTTCCTTCTTCTTTCCCTCCAGCTGATCCACAGGCAGAGGGCCAGCTCCAGTGGTTGAGTAGGCGTGCCAATGTCCTCCTGAGCAATGGCATGAAACTGGAAGACAACCAGCTGGTGGTGCCATCCACTGGGCTCTACCTGGTCTACTCCCAGCTCCTTTTCAAGGGTGAAGACTGTGCCAGTGAACCCCTGATCCTCACTCACACCATCTCCCGGGTCGCACTGTCCTACCAAAACAAAGTCAGCCTCCTTGCTGCCATCAAGAGTCCATGCCAGAAGGCAGCCCAAGGAGCTAGGGAAGCCAGTCCCTGGTATGAACCAACCTACCTGGGTGGTGTCTTCCAGCTTGAGAAAGGTGATAAGCTCAGCGCTGAAACCAACTATCCAAAATATCTTGACTTTGCTGAGTCTGGCCAGGTTTATTTTGGGGTTATTGCCCTTTGAGAGAAGAAGGGAAGTCATACACCTGTCCCATGCCCTTCCTCACCTTTCATTCACCTTTATCAATATTCCTCCATGCCCATTGATTGCCTTCTTTTTTTGGGTCTGAAAAGTGATTTAAATACTGGGAACTTGAGTTTAGAACAAACTAGAATATGACAAAGGACATTGAGAAAACAAGGGTCAGAAGAGTGCAAGTAGTAATATAAACTGATATTGGCTGCATATCAAGGACCATAGAAATATAGAGTCCAGAGTAACATAAAAAATCCATCAAGAAATCTGTATGCTGAAACCAATTTGGAACCTAGACCGAAACTGGGAACCTAGGACCTAGAGTAGAGTGCCCAGCACACAAAACAAGCCTGACCTGAGAACCCTCTTTACTCTAGAACACTCCCTGAGGTATATATCTGATCTAGACCCTGAAATGAATCTAAATCCAGATCTTTCCTGTTCTATTTATTGTAATGAGGAGCCCTGCTATTTGCCCCCAGGGGTGGCTTCTATTATTTATGACTAGATAATATGTTTGTTTATTTATTTATTTATTTGTATATTTATTTATTATTTATTTATTCTTGAATATATTTATTAAGAAGGTTAGCATTCATGGGGAACCCAGATGTTGAGGTTTCCCCAGCTCAGGAGTATTTTCTGTGAAAATGGAACCGAACCAAGGCTTCTATCCTGGCCCCTTGTCCACCCTCCCATCTTCCTATTTAAAAAAAAAAAACATCTGATCTGATTACATTGCTGATTTAGTGGCTGTATGTCGCTGTGTCTCTAAACCTCTGCTCCCCAGGGGAGCCGTGTCTGTAAGCGCCCTATATGTTAGTGGCGAGAAATAAACTTTGCTTTGAAAACACTTGAAATTTGTTGAGATTGTTATTTATTGCTTATTTATTAAATGATGAAAGTGTTTGGGAGATCACAGTGCCTTGAGTGATTCAGTTGTATTACTTCTTCTCTCTGCCTCATTCTAAGGTGAGAAAACCTTCCTCTTTGCCTCCCAATTCCTTCTCCCCAGTTTGTGAGAGCCTTCTCTATAATCCCTTCCTCATCTTTAGTCCTTAGGTTCCAAGATCATAGAATCCAGGAGATCTCACAGAGATAAAGACTAGAAAAGCATCTTCATACCCCTGATTCTTAGAGACAAAAATAGCTTCTAACTTTACCAAGTCAATTGAGGCCATCCTATGGGAACTTCCTCAACACTACTCTTCAAAAATTCCAATTATCATTACTTACCCTCTGCTCCTTTCCTCCTTCTCCAAAAGGTCTCATTCCTACCTGTACCTTGATCTCATCCCCTCCTACCTCCAATACACATCTATTTAACTCCTTTCAAACTCCTACAAACCTGCTCAGGTCTTCCCAATCCTATAAAAACCTTCCCTTGACTCTTGACCATTGATCTCATCACACATCTATCCTCCATTTCACCACCAACTTCTTGAAAACTTCATTTCTTCCACCTATACTTTCCTAATCCCATGCAACTAGTTTTTTGCCCCCTCCTGCACACCTGTGTTCTCATCTCATCCGAAGTCAACTTTTCTTCTTCAGTATAACCAAATTTCTTTAGCCTGGGAAGGCAGGAGTCTGTTGAGAAGGATCTCCTGTCAGAGGAAGAGGGGAAATGGGGTTCTATATGTATTGGGAAAGTTCTCATATTAATGAGAGAAATTATGATGTGATTGGGAGTTAGCTGTTGTCATCCAACACAATGTAAATAGAGCATATGGATCCCTCAGAGTGACTTTCCTCCTTTCCTTGGAATTTTTCAAGTGTTACCAGCAAAGAAAGGAAGTGTGTTATCTTGGAGAGAGCATTAAGCAGAGTCAAACACCCTTCCCTGACACTTATTGTGTGACCTTAGACAAATCATTAATGTCTCTGTACCTCAGTTTCTAAATCTGTAAAATGAGGGAGCTGAACTAGATCACATAGCAACTGTCATTGTCCAACTCATAACCAAAAGGAATTGCCACTCTAATATACCTGACAAGGGGTCATAATCTAACCTCTCCTTGGACTGCCCCACCTCTCGAGGTACCCTGTTCCCTTTTGGACAGCTCTTGGAAGTTTTACCCAAAATCAAGCTAAAATAATGGCCTCTTTACAACTACTCCACCCAGGCCGCTCCTGGTTCTGCCCTCTGGAGCCAATCAGAACAAGTCCAATCCCTCCTCCATAGAACAGCCTTTTAATTACTTGAAGAGAACTATCACCCTATCCCCTCCTCCTCCCCACAAGTCCTTTTTTCTCCAAGCCAAACATCCGCAGTTCCTTCAACCTATGGTCTCTAATTTCCTTTCCAGCTCTAAATCCTATGAACACCTATGAGAGTGGAACCAGGCAAAGGAAATCATACCTAGAGAATTGTTATTTCCAATTCTGGGCATTCCAATTGCTATCAGGGGAATTCCCCACATCTCAGGTGAAGTTTCCGGATTTTGTGGCCTGAGAGAACAGGGGAAGGACAACATTCCCTTTGACCTGAGTCACAGCCAAAAAACTTCCAGGGAGCCAGGTGTCCAATTTCCCTCCCCCACAGACTGCTATCAGGGATCTAGGTTTCCCGCACTCTTGGCTTTCCCTTACCTTTCCTGTTCTCTAAGGAATGAGGCTAAAGAGAGTTGAGGAAATCAGAACTGGAGCAACAAAAGCTATTCTGAAATAGAACCCTACCCAGTCTGATCTCTCTGATTTGGGATACAATGGAGAAAGGAGGATGTGGAGTAAGACTGAGAGACAGAAACAAAACTACAGATGGACAGAGTTTTCTTCTCCCCACCCACACCCCCAATTTTGCTGTATAGATGAACAAATATGTTGTGTTTCTCAGGGCAACTAATTCATCGGAGGAATGAAAGGAGCCAAGGCCCCATAAGAGAAAAGTGACCTAGATAGAGTGTTGGGTCCCCCCTCTGCTTCCTCCACACTGGGGCTCTAAATGGGTCAATGATGGTGGGGCGGATGCTGCTGTTGTTACCCCATTTCCCCCACTCTTCCTGGAACTGGCAACCTGAAGTGTGAACTGGGGACTAGGACTTTCCATTCCGCCTTGGATTTAAGAATGTTTTCCTCTGAAACCTTTTTTTTTCTTTTTCTCTTTTGCCTCCCCATGACACGATAATTTTCTCCACCCACCCACCCCTATTTCCCCTCTTATGACAGCCTTTCCTCTCTGCCATACAAAGACTTTCTCTCTGAAATGAGACCCTTCCCTCCATATCTCTTTCAACCTCCATATGTCTTTTTTATCTCCATCATAAAAGTCCTGGCCCCAGAACTCTTCAGGGGAAAGAAGCATCATAGTTCCATTGGCCTAACTCAGGCAGAGGTCATCGGGTGGGGCTCAGACATAATCCTTGTATGGCCTTGACAGCATTCTAAACTCTGGTAATTTTGAATGATACAACTAACTAACAATTACACCAATATCTTTCCCTTGATGGGAGAATTTTGCCAAAATACACATGGTTCCAACTCCCCTCTTCCTCTTTAGTCTTCCCAGGCTAAAGAAATTTTGATTATTGACCCTGGAAGAAAAAAAAAAGCTGATTTGGGGATACTACAAAGAGACTGGAGGTAGGGACAGAGACTGATGATATGGCTAGTGTTTAAGTCCCCCTGAGTGACTGTTCTCCTTTCCCTTGAATTTCTCAAGCCATGCCTGGGAAGATGACAGACAACAGGTCAGACTTCTTGACAAAAGCGGGGTGCTAGGTTGGGGTGGGAGTAGCTTTACAGAGTGTTATGAGGATGTATTTAAATTTAACAGGGACACTTCCCTTTACCCTCAGTTTGACATGGCATATGGTACAGAGGAAAGAACATAGGATTTAGAGCCAGAAGACTTGGGTTTGAATCTTGTCTCTCCCACTTACTACTTGCGTGGCGTTGGGTAACTCATTTAACTTTCTTTGTACCTTGTTCCCTCCTCAATGAAAGGGTTGGACTAGATTACTTTAAATCCTAACTCTATGATTAGGTTGCATAGAGGGGGAGAGGGAGTATACACATGGAGGTAGTGTCTTGGATGGGATGACCATCAGAGAGAAATGGAGTGTGTCATGGTACAGTGGCGAGGAAAAGAAACAGCAAAAGATAGGGCAAAAGAGGCAACAGCCATCTTTATTGGCAGGGCAAAACTTATAAGATATTCTTGGGTGCCTTGTTCAAGAAACTAATACAATTACAATCTCTTTTCTCCCTCCTTCCCTCCCTCCCTCCCTCCAACTATTACCTCTAGGACCTACCCATCTGGCCATTTAGCCTTCACTTCCCCTAGGGACCCTTTACCTGCACACCTCCCCCCACCCCCAGCCAAGGCACTGACACCCCCACCAGTGAACATTTCCCATCAGATCTAAGTGTCCCTCATCCCACCATTACAGCCCCAAAGAATGTCTTCCCCCTCCTGAAGTCCACCATGTCAAGGTGACTGACATTAACGTAGATCCTCTCGCCCCCTCGAAGCTGAGCCAACCCTCCAAACCCTACACTGGCATACCACAAAGTGCCCTGCCCAACTCCCGCGGCCTGCCACATAGGGGGGGTCACGGTCTCAGACCCCTGAAGCAGCAGTTCTGGCTCCCCTGACCCAGAGGCCCCCCCAGCTCGAAATAGCCAACTGCGGAGGGTGACAGCGACTCCGAGGTCCCCAGTCTGATGCTGAGAGCGGAACTGTTCTCCACCAGAGGGAGCTCGGCCCCTGTAACCAATGTGACAATAGAGGAAATAAATTCCATCTTGGGGAAGGGCCAGCAGTCCTTCATCCCCCAAGAATTGTGTTCCACTCTTCAGAAATGCTTCCTCGTGTCCTGACACCCAGCGCAGCCCATGATCTGATTTTGAGACACCTGTGGAAAAATAAGGGCAAAATGGTGAACATTGTCTCTTTAAGAACCAGCTCTTGAGCTAAGTGATTCTGTCCTCATCTAGCAAGATTACTTGGAATCTGCATAGGAACGGGCTGAATAGATGGGAGAAAGGTTGGAAGATTCAGGGAGGAGTAGGGGAGGAGAAGAGTCCTAAATAACCCAAGGGACTCAATGCTGAGTTTTGTGGATCACAGATAGGTCTTGGTATGGGAATCCAGATCTAGGTTTGTGGAAGAGGGAACCTTTATAAGTTTAGGTTAGACTTTCTTGGGAGCTCAAGATCTAGGATGCTATAGGAATGAGAGACCCAGTGGGAAGCTAGGACATGAGTCTGGAGCAGTAGGACAGAAATTAATGGACCGGAAATAGGAAGGATGCCACTAGGGAATAGGAACTGAGAGAAAAAAGAGAATAGGAAAGCACTGGGGAGTGTGGACATGAGACAATGAGAAATGAAAAAGGAAGCCAATCAGGAAAGAGAAGGGGAGATAAAGAGCCCCGTGGAAAAGCCAGTGAGGAGCGGGATGGGTTCTGACTCCAACTCAGGTTTACTGCAGATCCACTCCAGCTTTATCTCAAATCTCCCAAGTTCAAGCCTATCTCCACTTCCCTTGGTGAATCCAGGCTCTTACCTATGAGGTGTGCAGCTGGGGGGATGGGACTGAGATCTGATCTGGACTCCACCGGCAGCTTATGAAATCCTAGAGAGAAAGAGAAACATGAACAATAACAAAAACAAAAACAAAAACAATGAAGGGTTGGGAGAGTCCTTGAGGGAATTAAGGTTATGGAGATCGTGAGCTAGATATCTGTGCGTGAGATGAAAGGGGGTAGGAAGAAGGACCTGGGGACCACATCTAGATACTGGGAACCACCCTTACCCAGTTGCTGCAGCAATTGTTCTCCTGGACCAGAAGGGTCAGCTACCTGGGTGGGGAGACAGTGGCCATCACTACCTCCTCCTTCACTTGGATCC